GTTATAAAACTGAAGAGAAAAACATTCTTAGTGCTCAAAAATCTTAAAATCTTTTTTCATGTTCCATGGAAAAAAACTTGTTTTACCTTAATTTTAATTGTTTCTATGCAACTATTTTACATCGAAAATAGAATTTACATACACACACAACAATAATAATGTCAAACAGCTCTATTTAGGCTTCATTTTCCTACCCTTATTTACAATAAAAGCTTTCCTAGATGTCTGATTTTCATGAAAGAATATTATACTTTCTCCCATTTAAATAAAGATCTTGCAATAGGGTCTACATTATTTTCCCTGAATCATACATTTATCTTGGCTGTGTGGTTGTTGAAATATTCTACATATGGCCTCATAGTATTACTGCAAATTTTGTTTATTTTACTGTGTTTCAAAATTATTGAAGCAGGAGAGAAAAGTAGATGATTAATGTAGGCTTTGATAGTAGCGTTGCACCAATTGTTATGACTTCTTACCAATGGCAGGGTAATAAAGCAGGGGATAGGATCCTGTAGCTGGCCAGAGTAAGTCTAAGGTCCAACACTGGGCTCTCAAGGTACAAAGGACACCACACAGGTATCTGTCAAACACAAGTAGTTTATTTTCTGACAGCTGACAGCTGTGCCCCATAAATGGAAGAATAATATAACAAAGAAGCGGCATATCTTACGTCCCTTCCTGCAAGCCTGGGACCCCGGCTAGGATGCGGACGAAGTGGTAGGTTGTCTCCGCTTCCGAGGTGCCGGTACCCAAAGCCCATTGGTGAGGTCCGATTTGCTAGGCTCTGAGGCAGCCTTAAATACAGTTTTCCTGCCTTGTTTGGCAGTTTGGAAATTTCCAGGGTTTACTCATTAGTGCTGATGTAGGGCTTAGCTGTTAGTTATCGATCTGGTTCTGATCTGGATCTTCTTGTTCTTTAGCCCTGTTTACGTGATCAGTACGTTAGGGTAAACAGAATTGTTTATGCGCTCTTGCCCTTTACTTGTTCTTGCTATATTGGCAACAATGCTTATCTTAAGTGGTGTATGTTCCCAAAGACTTGCTTCTGGCTCATCAGATATAGCGAAAGCGGGGGGAGGAGGGGAGAAATGCAGGCCTCACCATCCCTAAACTAACACGTAAAAAGTCCTTCCGCAATTGACCACTACAGATCCCAATGACTAGGTGACAAATGAATATTGCACTGACTACCTGTTTCTTGCTTTAGTAAACATGTACAGCTTTTGTTTTGGGTGATCTAGGAATTCAAATTTTTGAGCCTTTTTGACTGCCAGGAAACTGGAATCTATGATTTCAAGTAAACATAGAAAGTTTTCTTGCCACATGTCAAGATTTTTTCAGTACTTGTTATAGCTGGAAAAGATTTTATGGGCCATTTCTGAAAAAAAAAATCTATTATATCCCTAGTCCCTTTCCATTTTCAGTCATCTCTATCTGAAATATTATTGATATAAAATTAGCAGTAAAATCATGCCATTCTTTTCTTTCCTGTCCTCTTCTTGATATTATAGCCAAGTTAAAATAATAATGGAGGTTTCAGACTTCCAAGAAGTCAGGATTACTAAATTAGTCAGAATTGAAAGGGAATTGGTGAAAGAGCAAGTCTGTGATTTATTCCCACCCTGATGGTAAGTTTGCAGATATCATTCTGCAAATCCTCTCTCTCAATTCCTTTATCAAGCTGATATGCAACCTTCACAGATGCATCAAGGTACCTAACACTTTTAAAAAAACTAGTCATGTTAGTCAAAGGCAAATCTTTACTGATGGCAATGAAATCCATTCCTCTGTGCATTCTCTTATTGATGGTAACTAGCAAACACCATATCTGTAATGAGTCTTGCATCAATACTGTTAAAATCCCTGCTAGGTTCATATTTGGGTCTGGCTGTAATGGGTTCCCTCTGAATGCCCCTGGAACTGGTGTAACACTTAGTCCTCCAACCCACCAGCCTGAACACCCTCACATATTACTGCCCCTTCTTCTAGTTAGCTCCACTCTAGGGCTTGGGCTAGGCTCCAGCCCAGTGCAGCCAGCTAGCCAGGGCTGCCCAGCTGTTGCCATCCTGCTTCCATCCCTCCTGGTGGTGGCTTCCTCGGGACAGGGTTCTCCAGCTATTGCTGCCCTGCATCTGTACCACCCAGCTAGGGCTTCCTGGGGATGGGGCTCCATGGCTGCCCCGTTGTTGCCATGCCAGCCTAGGGCTCTCTGGAAACAGGGCTCTCTGGTCCCACTGCTGTCCCACTTGGCTGGAGCTCCCTAGAGATGGAGTTAACCACTGCTGGACTTCTGAGTGGTTCACACTCCCAGGCATGGGGGCTCTCTGATCCATTATCCTGCCAGACCCCAAATGTTGCCAGATGAGAGATTTCCAGATTTAGGAGGTTCATCCTGTATTTAGGGAATGTGTGGTGCTTCTTAGGGCACTCAGGGTTGAGAGTCGTCATTTTGCCATCTGGTTCCAGCAGGTAGGAGCGTAAATCACTCTCTTGTAGCTTATTTCAGCATCACTCACTGGCAATAGACGCCACCCAATCACTTACATCCCTTTCAAGTGTGTCCCTCTTGCATCCAGCCCTTGATCACTGGATATCAATAGAAATCCCAGATCCTCCTTTCCCAAAAGAAAAGAATTCCCCAGGTTGCCAGTTTTACCTTGTGAAGGTGTATCACACTTCAGTTAAGTTATAATACAACAGAGGGAAATTTATTTTAGAAAAAATAGAGATTCAAATAAAAACTGGTATGTGTGATGAAAACAAATGGTTACATACCAGATAAAGCAATATAATCCAAACTAGGTCTATACTTATTAATTACCATTCCTAGCTACTAAATTCAATTACTGCTCCTCCTCTGCCCAGTTCAATCTTTTGCAGCATTTGCTAGTTCAAGGAGCTAAAACCCCATCTTTCATGAAAGGAATTTGAAGTAATTCAGCTGAAGTCAGAGTGAAGATTTATACCTGTTTAACACAGTTCAGAATCTGACCATTCTGACCACTGAGTTTTTGCAGCAGAAAATATGCTAAGGGACTCATTAGCATAAGTTGTGATATCATTAGCATATTTTCTGCTGTTTCCAGGAGAAACATAAGGTTCTTGTGCAAAACGGAAATGGCTAGACTGCTTCTTTTTGCACAAAAACCCCTTGTGCAAAAAAACAGAAATATGCTAATGATATCACGATTTATACTAATGAGTCCCTCATTAGCATATTTTCTGCCACAAAAACTTGCTCAACAAAGCCTCAGAGTATACTAATTAGCCTAAATATCTGTAAATAGTTTTAAAATGTTCTGGGCCCGTTTCTACTTTCATTTGTACTAGTGCAATGTCATTTCTTGAGAGTAGAAATGTATCCTCTCAATGTTTTTATTGAAGTTAGTTGAAACATTTCAAAGTTAGACATTTTTTGAGAAAATTTGTCATGACATTTTTCAAAAAAAAAATCTGTTTTCAAATAGCTGATGTTTTAAGGAAGCTTTGTATAAATAGTAGTGTATCAAAACACAATTTTGTTTTTCTCCAACAGAACACACATTCCATAGTTATGGGCCTTGAATATTAGGCTTATTACAAACATTTTGTGCTCTTTCAGCTCACCTAGTTCATCACTGCCAGTTGGCATTGCAAATGGCTATAAAGGTTGTTCCTCAGTTCCTGGTATGTCTCTAGTGAACATTGCCTTTATTTTCTGTATATAGGAGCTTACATTTTTTTTCCACGTTCTCATACAATATGCCCTTGTAGTTCTAATGAGTTATATAATATATTTCCTGTGGTGGAGTCAGTCTTGCTATGATAAGCACTAATACAAGTTGGCCACCTGTGCTCTGTAGAATGCTTCACTGAGAAATGATGGCAGGAAAACATCAATTGCACATTGCCAGAAATATATGACCTAATGTAATGTCTTGGATTTAATTTTAAGAGTTTGCAAAACTGCAGCTTGCCTTGGAGAAAAAACAATAGTTCACATTGTGAGCCTTATACCTTTGTGTGACAGAAATTATAATCCACATTTCTACATTTAGAAATTGAAGGAAAATATTTATATTTGTAGCTGCTGAATAAGCATGTAAAGTTCGTGCTATGCAGAAATCAGTTTCATGTCTCAAATTATTTTTAAAGGTAAAACAGGAATGATTAATTCTAATATATCTGCAGTTTCCTTTGTAAACCAAGGAAAGACGAAACAGAAATGCATTTTTTTCTCATTTTCCTTGGGAGGAAAACTCTTCCTTTTTCCAATGAAAAAAATAGTTAATGTCTTTTTTTATACACTCTGCTAAACCTCTGTAAAGTGAATAGAATACTCAATAGATTGATAGAGACAAGGTTGGTGATATAATATAATATATTGGACCCAGTTCTGCTAGTGAGAGACACAAGTTTTCAATCTATGGGAAGCTGTTCTTTGATAGTCCTATCAGTAAAATAAGGAAAGGAAAATTGATTTGGGTAAAATTTATTGGGGAAAAAATTATTTGGGTAACATCCCAGCTTAAAGTGATAGATGAGAATGCGGAGGAGAGTAATTTGACCATTGTGGGTGCTTCTTATCCCTGTGACCATTCTTTGCCTCTATAGGAACAAGTCGTCTTCTTCGAGTGGTCTCCGTGGGTTCTCCACTCTAGGTGTCGGGCTCATCCCTAGAACACTGCATGCATTTTTGGGGCACATGAGACTTCCTGAGGCAATGTATGCATGCCACATGGCCGTCGGAGGCCAGCATTGCGTCGCCACACAGGGAGCATTTCTTAAACCCCGGTAAACCTGGCATAATGCCTCCCAATGGGGTGAGATATAGTGGACAAACGGTAAACCTGGCATAATGCCTCCCAATGGGATGAGATATAGTGGACAAACTATCTAACTACTACTAAGCTAAGGCCTACAACGGTAACTGGTTAACAGTATAACGAACTTTTTTTTTTTAAACAGTTAACAGGAAGAACTCTAACTATAATAACTAATTTACAACTTTCTTTCAGGTGACGGTCTTCTCAGTTTTTGAGGACAGGAACAGAGCTCCACCAGCAACTGAGGACGGTTGAGAGGAAGTGGTGGGGGGGCCAGACCGCGCGCCTATAAAAAGGGCATGAATGGCACATTGTGCTCCTGCACATGTACGCGCTGGCTGACTACAGCTTTGAAGTCTCCGACCAGCAGCACTGGGACAAGCACGACACCTAGAGTGGAGTACTCATGGGGACACATCTCAGCCTATAAAAAGGGCATGAATGGCACATGGTGCTCCTGCACATGCACGGGCTGGCCGACTACAGCTTTGAAGTCTCTGACCAGCGGCACTGGGACAAGCCCGACACCTAGAGTGGAGCACCCATGGGGACACCTCTCAAACAATCATTACTGCATGAGGTGAGTAACTTCGTTATATAATTTTTTTTAAAAAACGTGGAGAATTTTGGCTATTCCCAAATTGACTGGGTACACGTCACCCCAGGACAGGATGCAGAGATAAAGTTTCTTGACACCTTAAATACTTGCTTCTTGGAGCAGCTGTGCCTGGGACCCATAAGAGGAGAGGCAATTCTTGATTTACTCCTAAGTGGAGTGCAGGATCTAGTACAAGAGGTTGTACTACTTGGAAATAGCTGAACTACTTGGAAATAGTGACCATAATATATTTAAATTTAACATCTCCGTGCAGAAAAAACACCATAGCATTATGGCATTTAATCTCAGAAAGAGGAGCTACACGCAAATGAGGAGGTTAGTTAAACAGATATTAAAAGGCACAGTGCCAAATGTGAAATCCCTGTAAGACGTAGGAAATTTTTTAAGTTATCATAATAGAGGCTTAACTTAAATGTACACCACAAATTAAAAAAAAAAAAAAAAACGTAGTAAGAGAACCATTCTTTTTAGGTGACAAATTTGATGGACTGTCCCATACTGAGGTGTGGGTTTTAGGTGACAAATTTGATGAACTGTCCCATACTGAGGTGTGGGTTTCATTAGAGGTGGTTTTGGAACAAACTGAAAACCAGTAATAAAGACCAGATGGTATTCATCCCCAAATTGTGAAAGAACTCAAATGTGAAATTGTAGAACTATTAAAGGTGGTTTGTAACCTACCTTTAGATCATCTTCAGTACAAAATGAATGGAGGATAGCTAATGTGATGTCAATTTTAAAAAGAGCTTTAGAGAGGATCCTGACAATTGTACACTGGTGACTCTGACAACAGTACTGGGGAAACTGGTTGAAATTATAATAAAGAGCAGAATTGTCAGACACCTAGATGAACATAATTTGTTGGAGAAAAGTCAACATGGTTTCTGTAAAAGGAAATCATGCCTCACCAATCTACTAGAACTCTTTGAGGCACTCAATCAAATAGACAAGAGGGATCCAGTGGATAAGCTCCCCTCCCCCCGAACCAAAGGCTCTTAAGCAAAGGAAGCTGTCATGGGATAAGAGGGAAAAATCTTTCAATAGATTGATAACTGATTAAAAGGACCCATAGGATAAAAATAAATGGTCAATTTTCAGAATGGAGAAAGGTAACTAGTAGTGGCCCTAGAGACTTATCCTATTCAATAAATTCATAAATGATTTGGAGAAAGGGGAAATTAGTGATGTGGCGTGGCACTCCAAGAGAGCAGTGACCCTAAGCCCAGGTGGTCAACAGCCAAAAGTAGAGACCATGTGGTCCAAGAGCAGCACCTCAGCAGGCTAGAGTCTGGGAGCATATTACTGGGATCTGAGACCAGTAGCCCCAGGTGCGGGCAGCTGGCGACCCAGAGGGGAGCCATGGAGCCGTAGAAGGGTGCAATTGGTGATGGGTGGTTGGGAGGGCATCCCTGAAACCACAGCGGCTGGCAGCAGAGCTCTGGTGGGTCAGAAGTTGAAGCCCCTGGTAGGCAGGTATATCTTCCAATTTAAATTTCAACAGCTTTTTCCATTGGCAATTCTGGCTCCCTGCCAACACCCTCTAACTACTTGAGTTTAACCCTTTAGCTACCAAATGCTGGCCAGCACCAAATGCTATTCATCACATGCCCCCTCCCAAATCACAGACAGTGCTGGACAGGCTGGCCCACACTGACTTTGATTTCTTCTTAGAGGTTTAGGATAAAACATAGCTAATAATATACATGCATACACTAAATTAACAACTGAATACACAAAGTACTAAACAAGATCCCCCACATGCATGGACTACCATGACTTCAATACAAGGAGAGTGTTAACTTGCTTAATCTAGGAAACTTTCATGGGAGAGTGCATCAACCACTTTGTTAGAAGTTCCTGAGGTATGTTGTATGTCAAAGTCTTGAAGAGCCAAACTCCACCGGAAGAGTTTCTTGTTAGTCTCTTTGTGTGAAGCCACTTCCGTGTGGAATGGTCAGTCTGCAGATGAGTGTCATCCCCAAATATATGGTCATTGCTTCCTTAGAGCATATACAATGGAGTAGCATTCCTTTTCAGAGACGGACCAGTGGCTTTCCTTCTCAGAGTTTTTTACTGAGGAAAAACAATGGAGTGAAATTGTTTATATGGCCTATTTGCATCAAACTTGCCCCCACAGAATGCTCTGACACATCCGTGGTGACAAAGAAAGGTTTGTTGTAGATTGGGGTCCTTAGAACAGGGTCAGACAATATAGCAGCCTTAAGCTGCTTAAAATCTTCCTGACACTTTCCAGTCCACTTAATTGTATTTAGTTGCTTTTTTCTGGTCAGGTCTGTCAGTGGTGCTGTGACCTCACTGTAATAACCTTCCAAGCCCAAGAAGGATTGGACCTTTTTTGGACAGGCCGGTTTTGGATAACCTCTACGTTAGCCTATAGAGGGCTGATAAGTCCCTTGAAAGTAGGAATAAGGGATCCTCTGGAAAAGGGCTTATTTTCCAGAGAATCGCGTCTAGACTGGCGCTTTTCTCCGGCAAAAACCCCAAGCCGGAAAAAAGCAGCAGCCATGTAAATGCAAATGCCGCAGGGGATATTTAAATCCCCCGCAGATTTGCAATTCCAAAGTGTCTCATTAGCATCCCTTTTCCAGAAAGGGATGCCAATGTAGACACAGCCATCGAGAGGGTTACCTCTTCAATGTCATCCTGGCCTTTCCTGTCATAGTAGGCTCCTTCAGGCTACTCAGCATCATCTCTCTCATAGGCAGTGAACTGAAGAACCTTGAATTCTTGGGAATAAAAGGCTTTAAAAAATTAACATGATATACCTTGGGCTTAAAGTTAGGGTCTGGGAATGTTATGACGTTATTAACAGCTCCTCTGCACTCTCGGACCGTGAATGGTCCATCCCATGATGCTCCCATCTCATTTGCCTGGAGTGCTTTCAATTGTTCACCTACTTTGAAGGAACACACTCTGGTATGTTTATAATACCAGGCCTTCTGTTCTTTCTGAGTATTCTGCAAGTTTCATTGAGCAAAGGCTAAAGAGTCTCTGGTATTTTGCAGCTTGCCTACAAAATCCAAAATGTTAGTTCCAGGAGAAGCGATCACCCCCTCCCATTTCTGTTTCATTTTATAGCCATAAACATGTCCAAAGGGAGAGAATCCCTAACTGGGTTGGGATACATCTCTGTAGAAAAACAGTAACTACTGCAACACTAAGTGCCAATCATTGGAGTGTTCATTTACGAATTTGTCTCATAGTTCCCAACGTTCCATTAAATCTCTCTAGCAAGCCATTTGTCTGGTGGTGGTAACCCAGCCTGACAAAAATATCTGTTAATGCCAGGCATAAGCTCTTGACTGTGGCATTCCCTACAGCTACTGCTTCAGGCCATCAGGTGGCAAAATACATGGAAGTCAGTATTACTGTTTTTCTCTGGGGCTATGTCTACATTATAGAATTTTTCTGGGATCCCTCTGGTATCCCGGAAAAACTCTGCTGTGTCAAGGGTACGTGTCTTCTCTTCCACATTTTTTTTTCAGAAGAGCAGATGCACTTTTGGGGCATCCCAGTAAACCTTGTTTTATGAGGAAGAAGGGATGTTCCAAAAAAAAAAAAAGTAGGTGGGGGGGGAGGGGTTTCCGACAGGCCAAATGTCAGAAAAGCCTCTTCAAAAAAAAATCAGAAAAAGCTATGCAAATTGCAGTCCACAATTTGCATAGCTTTTTTTCTGGAAGAACAGTGTACTATAGACCTAGCCTGGGTGTCCCTTTAAGGAAAGGATCCAGCATATCCACAGCTGCATGCTGAAATGGAACTTCTATTATGAGGAATGGCTGGAGAGGTGCATTGATCTGTTCTTGGGGCTTTCCCACCTCCTGACACACCTCACAAGACTTGACATATCTAGACATGTTCTTGCCTATTCCCTCCCAGTGGAATGATTTTCCCAGTTGATCTTTGTTTTTGTTTATGCCAGCATGGCCACTAGGGTGGTCATGAGCTAAGCTCAACTTTTCACTGTACTTAGTTGGATCTACCAACTGTCTCTGAGGATGCTAGTACTTCTTTGTACCCAACCAGAAAGTCTTTTTGTATAAAAGTCCTCTATCTACCACAAACCTGGACCTGTTAGAAAAGCTGAGAAGTGGTGGCTCATTCCGGGCCACCATCCAAGCTCCCTTTAGGCTCTCATCTGTTTCCTGCTTTGCCTGGGACTGCTCCCTTGATGCTGGAAAGACTAGCTCCCCACTTGTGTACTTGGGCTTGCTCATTCTGGAGGCGATGAAGGTGATGTGGGTGTGTCGGCTGGCTGTGAACTGCTCTTGGCTGGGTTTCATTGCAGACTCCGTCTGTGCCTCTTGTAAAGATTCAGTTGCTGCTGCAGTCTCTGTGATGCCCTCTGCTACTGGTTCCATCTGGATTCTAGGAACAGGATCCACTGCTGCTGTTGTAGTCACTGGTCTGGGATCTGGTTCCACCATCTCTGTCTGGGTCTCCAGTACTCAAGTATCTGCTGATACAGATTGAGCCCTGTTGAAGTCTCAAAAACAGGGTTAGGCATGAAGTCTTGCTTAGCCCTGCTGCAGCTGACCATTCTCATCCTCTTATCCTGTCTCACATAGTTAGCTAAGTCCTCTCCCACAAGCATAGAAATGGGATAATGATCATAGACTGCAAACGTCCAAATTCCTGACCAGCCCTTGTATGTAACAGGTAACTTGGCTGTAGGCAGGTCAAAAAAGTCTGTTTTAAAGAGTTGAACCATTACTTGGGACTCTGGGTTGATTAGTTGGGTGTCCAATAGTGACTGGTGGATCCGT